AATAGAAATAAAACATGGTTAATTGGGTACCAGGTGCAGTAAATAACTGGCTATATAAGAAACTGCTTTCACTGGCCCCAGCTAAAATCTGATAATAGGCAATGACACCACTTATTTGCTCAAGAGTATAAAAAAATAATCTCTTAACAGGTTCATTGTTAATTACTACCTGACCAAGCTGGAGCTGACCAATATTGGTCTAAGCACTCCTGGGTTTATCCTCTTTGTAATTATCTTGATCAAATGCTTATCAATGTTTTTTTCCTGTTGGTGTAGTAAATTGCTTATTATTTAGGCTTTTTAGGCATGTTTAGAGTAATTGTATAAATACAGTTCAATCTTTTTATTGAATAAAGGGATGTATGGCTGCTTCTCGGCTCCTTAGAGCTGAGGGGTGAAAACATTATACCTTGCATAAATAATAAGAATTCCAACATCTTCCTTTCTCTAAAATCTTGTGGAAATTAGTTCAGTGAAGTTTCAGGCATTTCCCAGAGCACTGCAGTTGGTGTTGGTAATGTCAGCACAAAGCAGTTAGCAAACTTTGCATCCTGTATTGCATTTTCTAACTGAGAGGAAGCATCTTAATGAGGAGAATGTCCATGACTAGTGCACATTCACTTCCCATTTTTAGTTTGATTTTTGATCAAGTTCCCTTTGCCTTTTAGGGGCAGTGACTCATATCAGGGTTTCCTGGGCTTCCTTTTCTTTTTTCCTCACTTGAATAAATCTTTCTTTCACGGCAACTGACAGCTGCCAGGCAGGTAGCTTTCTGCAGAAAATGCAGCACTTTCAGTCATGCAGGGAGGGAACTAGAAGGCTAAAAGAGCAGCCTGCTGGTCTCAGGAGCTCACTCTCTCATTTCTCTCCACATTTGTCACTTGAGGACATAAACATGGTCTTTTTCCAAGGCTCAGTTGCAATGAAACAGATGCCCAAACCCACCATACCTATAGTTATGCTAACGGGTGTTAAGGACAGAGATAGATAATTGCACCCTTAAAGAGATCTATTTTTTAAGTTTTATATTGTGATTTAGATGTTATGATGTGAATGAATTTAAGTTTGTAGTTCTAATACATTCACTTTTGCCTTTTAGCTATAAAAATCAGATGGACACTGGGCTTCTGCTGCTAACACTAAAGGAAGTCTCTAGGAAATAAATACACAAATGCAAGAAGCCTGGGAAACAAGCAGGGAGAACTGGAAGTCCTGGCACAGTCAAGGAACTATGATGTGATTGGAATAACAGAGACTTGGTGGGATAACTCACATGACTGGAGTACTGTCATGGATGGATATAAACTGGTCAGGAAGGACAGGCAGGGCAGAAAAGGTGGGGGAGTTGCATTGTATGTAAGAGAGGAGTATGACTGCTCAGAGCTCCGGTATGAAACTGCAGAAAAACCTGACAGTCTCTGGATTAAGTTTAGAAGTGTGAGCAACAAGGGTGATGTCGTGATCGGAGTCTGCTATAGACCACCAGACCAGGGGGATGAGGTGGACGAGACTTTCTTCCGGCAACTAGCAGAAGTTACTAGATCGCAGGCCCTGGTTCTCATGGGAGACTTTAATCACCCTGATATCTGCTGGGAGAGCAATACAGCGGTGCACAGACAATCCAGGAAGTTTTTGTAAAGTGTAGGGGACAATTTCCTGGTGCAAGTGCTGGAGGAACCAACTAGGGGCAGAGCTCTTCTAGACCTGCTGCTCACAAACCGGGAAGAATTAGTAAGGGAAGCAAAAGTGGATGGGAAACTGGGAGGCAGTGACCATGAGATGGTCGAATTCAGGATCCTGACACAAGGAAGAAAGGAGAGCAGCAGAATATGGACCCTGGACTTCAGAAAAGCAGACTTTGATTCCCTCAGGGAACTGATAGGCAGGATCCCCTGGGAGAATAACATGAGGGGGAAAGGAGTCCAGGAGAGCTGGCTGTATTTTAAAGAATCCTTATTGAGGTTGCAGGAAAAAAACATCCCGATGTGTAGAAAGAACAGCAAATATGGCAGGTGACCAGCTTGGCTTAACAGTGAAATCCTTGCTGATCTTAATCACAAAAGAGAAGCTTACAAGAAGTGGAAGATTGGGCAAATTACCAGGGAGAAGTATAAAAATATTGCTCAGGCATGCAGGAGTGAAATGAGGAAGGCCACATCACACTTGGAGTTGCAGCTAGCAAGAGATGTTAAGAGTAACAAGAAGGGTTTCTTCAGGTATGTTAGCAACAAGAAGAAAGTCAAGGAAAGTGTGGGCCCCTTACTGAATGAGGGAGGCAACCTAGTGACAGAGGATGTGGAAAAAGCTAATGTACTCAATGATTTTTTTGCCTCTGTCTTCACAAACAAGGTCAGCTCCCAGACTGCTGCACTGGGCAGCACAGTATGGGCAGAAGGTGACCAGCCCTCTGTGGAGAAAGAAGTGGTTTGGGACTATTTAGAAAAACTGGACAAGGACAAGTCCATGGGGCCGGATGTGCTGCATCCGAGGGTGCTAAAGGAGTTGGCGGATGTGACTGCAGAGCCATTGGCCATTATCTTTGAAAACTCATGGTGATCGGGGGAGGTCCCAGATGACTGGAAAAAGCCCAATGTAGTGCCCATCTTTAAAAAAGGGAAGAAGGAGTATCTGGGGAACTACAGGCCAGTCAGCCTCACCTCAGTCCCTGGAAAAATCATGGAGCAGGTCCTCAAGGAATCAATTCTGAAGCACTTAGAGGAGAGGAAAGTGATCAGGAACAGCCAGCATGGATTCACCAAGGGCAAGTCATGCCTGACTAAACTAATTGCCTTCTATGAGGAGATAACTGGGTCTGTGGATGAGGGGAAAGCAGTGGATGTGATGTATCTTGACTTTAGCAAAGCTTTTGATACGGTCTCCCACAGTATTCTTGCCAGCAAGTTAAAGAAGTATGGGCTGGATGAATGGACTATAAGGTGGATAGAAAGCTGGCTAGATCGTTGGGCTCAACGGGTAGTGATCAATGGCTCCATGTCTAGTTGGCAGCCGGCTTCAAGTGGAGTGCCCCAAGGGTCGGTCCTGCGTCCGGTTTTGTTCAATATCTTCATTAATGATCTGGAGGATGGCGTGGACTGCACTTTCATCAAGTTTGCAGATGACAGTAAACTGGGAGGAGTGGTAGATACACTGGAGGGTAGGGATAGGATACAGAGGGACCTAGACAAATTAGAGGATTGGGCCAAAAGAAACCTGATGAGGTTCAACAAGGACAAGTGCAGAGTCCTGCACTTAGGACGGAAGAATCCCATGCACTGTTACAGACTAGAGACCGAATGGCTAGGCAGCAGTTCTGCAGAAAAGGACCTAGGGGTTACAGTGGACGAGAAACTGGATATGAGTCGACAGTGTGCCCTTGTTGCCAAGAAGGCTAACAGCATTTTGGGCTGTATAAGTAGGGGCATTGCCAGCAGATCAAGGGACGTGATCGTTCCCCTCTATTCGACATTGGTGAGGCCTCATCTGGAGTACTGTGTCCAGTTTTGGGCCCCACACTACAAGAAGGATGTGGAAAAATTGGAAAGAGTCCAGCGGAGGGCAACAAAAATGATTAGGGGGCTGGAGCACATGAATTATGAGGAGAGGCTGAGGGAACTGGGATTGTTTAGTCTGCAGAAGAGAAGAATGAGGGGGGATTTGAGAGCTGCTTTCAACTACCTGAAAGGGGGTTCCAAAGAGGATGGATCTAGACTGTTCTCAGTGGTGGCAGATGACAGAACAAGGAGCAATGGTCTCAAGTTGCAGTGGGGGAGGTTTAGGTTGGATATTAGGAAAAACGTTTTCACTAGGAGGGTGGTGAAGCACTGGAATGGGTTACCTAGGGAGGTGGTGGAATCTCCTTCCTTAGAGGTTTTTAAGGTCAGGCTTGACAAAGCCCTGGCTGGGATGATTTAGTTGAGAATTGGTCCTGCTTTGAGCAGGGTGTTGGACCTGATGACCTCCTGAGGTCCCTTCCAACCCTCATATTCTATGATTCTATTAAATAAATAAATAAACAAATACTAATTAATGCAGGGCAGCTGCAGAACTCCATGGGCAGCCAGATTAGGTTTCAGCACCTACCAACTGGCATTCTGCAAGATGGCATGTTTTGAAGATAAGGGCTGGGAGGACAGAAACACTGGATACAATGTTAAACCTTATAGACAGCAAATGACTTAGGAATGAAAGTTAAATTGTTCCATCTTGCAGGACATCCTGCAATTTTGAACAAAAGGGATCAAAACCCAAAGAATTCAACATTTCTCACAAAACGAAATTCTGGGAGGAAAATCATTTTGGGTCAAGCAAAATGTTTCATTTTGATAAAATCAAAACATTTTGCTCCAATTTAGACTTAAAAAAAATATGAAATACATTTAATTTCTAAATGAAAAATTGAAATGTTCTATTCCAAAAATGTCAAATGGGACAGTTGCTACAATATCAGTTATACATGGGTAACATTTGTCTACAGTGTTTTTTAACCATGTAAAAAGAATGGAAAAAATGCACCAACACAAATCAACTGTATCATCTTTGATTATAACAGCCGAAGCAGAGTCCCCACCATCGGCAATGTTCACAGCTTAGAAAGGGTAATTGAAGAATTTCTTCTACCTCTGAGGGCACCTGCTATAATCGATAGACATGCGCCATACAAGGAATCTTAAGAATCTCTGTTTCCACTACTGGTCTTCGTGGTCCATGCATGAAGGTCTAACACTACCACAAGAGGAGCAGAAGAAATTCCTCTTTTCTGACATAGCTGATCTCAATGGCCAAAAAAAGCTCTAGTTCTGTGATGTGTGTGCGGCTGCAGGTGACCCCCCCACTGCTCTGTGGGTGTGAGTTTTCAGAAGTTCTGGTTTGTTTTTTCCTGCAACTGACGCCAGCAGCTCAATCTATATATTTCCCTTCCACTTCTTTGTGGTCACATCTCAAACACAGATAAGCCTTGGCAGGGTGTTTAGATGCAACTAGTGGAGTGTCAGAGAAAGACGGGTCATGGTGACAATGAAGGAACTTCTCTCTGTTCAGTTGCTTTGGGTTCTCCTTTCTTTTCACTCCACCATGGGTAAGTACCTGCTTTAGTTCACATGTAGAACTGAGATAAACTGACCCTAAAGGATTGTAATTTGGGGTCGAATAGGTTTCAGTGATTTTTTTTGCTTTCAGTCACCAATGATGTAAAAAGTAAGAACTGTCTTCTCATAGAAAGAAAATTAAACTAAAGTTGTGTCTGTCTCCTGTAGATGAGTACCAGAGAGAGAGTTTATATACTTCAATAATTAGGGACTGTTCTCACTCACAGATTATGCATATTGTACAAAATATCTTGCTCCTGGAGCACTGTGAGCCCAGAGCTGTTTATTAGCATACCCAATGACTCCAGAACTAATTACCACTCAAGTAAAAGCATTAGGGCCAGATTCTCTCCTCAGTACAAGACAGAAGAATGAGGAAGGCCTAGGGACTGCTCTGACTTAGACCACCTGGGAAATGGCAGTGCATAGCTGTACTCCAGCAGGTCCTCTTCCATCCCCTATGTGCTCCCCACACCAAGAGTTGGTGTAGGAACCAGGTACACTGGCTTTACTCCAGCTGAGAGCTCTTCCTCTCTGGGAGAATTCTGAGCAGGGCAGTTAGCACCAGACTCTGGCCACTCTGCACTCCCCGAGCGACTGAAAAGGAGCAGACTGGGGGAAGAGAGTCTGGCCTTAAAGGAGGGAGGCCTTTGGCTGGTTTTTCACACTCCAACCGTCTCCCCAACTGCCAAATTCTTCCTGTATGCCCCTCTCTGACCCCCACTAAACCATCCTGTAGGAAACTTCCCAACCTCCTAGCCTGAGTCAAATGTCTGTCTTTTCACTTTGAAAATCTAGTCACCCTACTCTCTGGGCAATGACTGGGGAGGGAAAGGGGCAGCAGGGGCGTGAGGGAGGAGCTGGGTTCCACTGACTGGATACAGGAGGGATGGGTGAGGGGAGAAGAGAGGTTATGCATGGCACTGATTAGGGGAGGGTGGTGAGGGAAACGGGCAGGCTGGGGAGTAGAGGCACCATTTGCAAGTGGAGCAGTTGCCCCCCCCCCCAACTTTTCATATATGTCCCATAATGTCTTCCAGCACCACCCAGCCTTTGCAGGATAGACTATCCCATATAAAGGTCTATAAGCTGACATAACTCCCACACCCCTTATTTTTTTCTGAAATGCTCCCTTGCTGGGGAGTTCTGTGAGAAGCAAGCGATTCAACAGCTGGTGGTGTGGCTGATGCAGTGGGTAACTGCAGGTGCTCAGGTAAAAGGGAGGTTTGCTGGTTCCCAGTGAGAATGTTTTCCAGTGATTTGGAGGGAAAGGAAGGTACTTGGTGTCTGGAGGAATTGGATCTCGTGAAGAGTCTCTTGAGGGCTGCCAGAAACATTGCTGTGTATCTTTCGGCTGTGACTATGCTCAATATGCAACAGCCCAGCTGGATGGTACAGGAGAAGATGAGACGGATTTGGGAAGGCAACACCTTTCACCAGGGGTTGGCACCACTGTGTTGTGTGACAGACATTTGACAAAATTAGCATATTTAGTGACAGACATTGTGGAGGAGGTTGTCATTCAGTCTTTCAATTTTTTTTTAAATTACCCTGGACCTCAATTTTACCACGTGTTTGTGTACGGACACGCTGCTGACCCCTGCCTTCCATCGTCTGATTATAGTGATGGACGTGACTGGGAGACGGGAGATGAAGCCCACTCTGGGATTTGATTCATGATATTGACAGAGCCAGATGGGATAATTGACAACAATAAGGATGCTCTCTCTTGTCACCCTGTTCTGTGTCTGTCTGAAGGTGCTGATGTACTGAGGCTGGTGGATGGAGGCAGCCCCTGTGCTGGAAGAGTGGAGGTTAAACACCAGGATCAGTGGGGGATGGTGTGTGATGCTGATGAAACAGAGCGGCAGTATCATTCAGTCATTTGTAAACAGCTGGGATGTGGATCTGCTGTTGCCATGTCTGAAGCTTTAATTTTTGGAGAACATTCTGGGCTGACTTGGCTCACAGAAGTTATTTGTCGTGGTAATGAGTCAGCTCTCTGGGACTGCAAACATGGAGGATGGGAATTGAAATCTTGCCCTTATCATGCTGGAGTGCTCTGTTCCGGTAAGAAATCAGCCATCCGACTCCCTCAAGGCAAAATGATGTGTATCCATGGGCGGCGGGTAACATAGGCAAGGGAAGGCATTCCGTTCCCAAAAAAACAGGGGCGGCCCCGACCATGCTCCGGCTGCCCAGGAAGGCTGGGGCTGCAGCGTGGATTACAGGTTGCTCCAGGGGCTGGAGCCATGTGGCTGTCTGACCAGCTGGAAAGCTGGAGCCGCGGCATGGCTGCCCGGCTGCTCTGGGGGCTGGAGCAGACCTGGGGCCATGCGACTGCTGGGCTGCTGGAGCAGCTGGGGCTGCCTGGCACTCTGGGGGCCGGGGAGCTGGGGCCATAAGGCTGTCTGGTACTGCTGGGAGAGGGGGAGGTGCTAGCCTTGGGCAGGGGCCATTGGCCATATTGGGGTGGGGGGTTGGGGGTGCAAGGCAGGGGCCAGTGGCCACAATGGAGCTGGGCTCTGGTGGGTGCAGAAGGGATATGGACTTGGGCGGAAGGGGCGGGGCTGGGGCTTGGCCTCCCCAAGCCAGCCATTCACCCACAGCCCATGTGTGTATCACATTTCTATGGCCTGAGGGAGAAATGAATACAATCTGGATTAACTCCTGTAACTGTTGTTATTTATATCACTGGATAATGAGGAAACCCTGGTGTGACTGCTGTGATTTGTAAAGGTTCTGAATTATGCAAATTCCAGCCTTGGCATGAAGGAGTCCATCATAAGAAGGCAGAGATTCCGAGGTAGACTCCTCCCTAGCCAAATGGTGGTTAATGCCTCTCAGTACTGGTGATTTGACTGTCAGCACATTCTTCTCTGACCTGTTATGTGGGTGTTTCAGGGATGAACAGCACAGCTCCTCTTACTGCCACCTGCTGGAGAAACAGCTTCACACAATGTGTTGTTTCCAAAGCAATGGCACACACAGCTATCTGATACGCTTATGTCATCCTGAGTCTTCTTGGCCAGTGGATTAAGTTTTCCTTCCTTCCCGTGACAAATGGGCAGAGGTGTTTCACAAAAGGTAGAGCATTTTCCTTTGAACTTAAACACTCAAGAGCTCAATCTTTGTTCCATTAAAGTCAATAGCAAAATTCCCACCGCCTTCAATTAGAGGAGAATCCAGCCCTAAAGCTGTACCCTCCGCTACTTCCAGGATGAAGCCTTTTGTATGAAGAGTGAAATTTATTATTCTTTTCTAATCACCTCTATTAAGTCCTTCTATTGCATCTCACCTGATTCCCGTGGGAAACAAGTGGGTTTTTTTAAGCATTGTAAATATTACCTTTCCCATCAGTGTTACAAAAACGGTTCTTTCTCTCCACTGTCTTAACTAGCATTTATGTGAAACTAGTGCTTGAGTCTCTCTATGTAAGTTTGAAATTCTTTTTTTTTTTTAACTGGAAAATTTCCATATTTCTGTCTTTTTCCTCCCCTTCTCTTTAACCAGGAGATTGGTTTCTTTCTCTGCCTCTTCACTCTCTCCAAACTGTACATTTGTTTTTAAATCTCTCTCATCTCCACTTCTCATTTTATTTTGTTTTAATGCAACATGGTAAGAATTTTCAGTAGTTTGTACAGCTGAAATTAGAAGCTTCGGCAGCTAGAGTTCAGTCGCCTTTTGAACATGCTTGGCATTTTCAAAAATAGCGTGTAAATGGCCCTAAAAGAGCCTGAGGGTTAGTGTCACTAAGGGGATTTAGGTGTAACACCTGACTTTTAGGTACCTCATCACCCAGTGGAATTCACAAAGTCTGATTTTTAGGCACCCAGGCTTCCTGTACAATGCATGGGGAAAGTCAGATGCCTCAGAATGGGATTCACAAAAGCCAGCATGTTGAGTGAGAAGCTGCCTAAGCTAGCCAAGACTAGATGCTAAGGAGAGAGGTGTGTCCTAACCCCTGTCCCTCAAAGGGAGTTAGGTGCCTAAGTCTGGGCTGGATGGAGGTGGCAATCTCTGTTTGGGATTCACAGCAGTGAACCCTCTTCTGGAGTCAGTAGTGCTTGAGTAGCTCCACACACAAACACCAAGATTGGGCCCTTATATGTAACCTTTAGACCAGTGGTTAGGACACTTACCTATGAAAATAGGAGAGGCCTGGTTCAATGCCACCCTGTGTCTGATATTACTTGAGTGCCTGAAGCACAAAGTCATTTTCACTCCCTCTTTGGCCCCATGCATATTTAATTATTTAACATATAGTGAGAGCTTCAACAGGATAGCCTGAGAGCCCTGCACGTGATCCCCAAATGGACAGGTTTCAGAGGGCTAGCCGTGTTAGTCTGTATCAGTGAGAACAACGAGGAGTTCTGTGGCACCTTAGAGACTAACAAATTTATCTAGGCATAAGCTTTCGTGGGCTGTAACCCACTTCATCAGATGCATGGAGTGGAAATTACAGTAGGCAGGTGTAAATATACTAACACATGAAAAGATGGGAGTTACCTGACCAAGTGGAGGACCAGTGCTAATGAGGCCAATTCAATCAGGGTGGATGTGGCCCACTCCCAACAGTTGATGAGAAAGTGTGAATACCAAAAAGGGGGGAAATTACTTTTTGTAATGAGCCAGCCACTCCCAGTCATTGTTCAGACCCAGCTTGATAGTGTCAAGTTTGCAAATTAATTCCAGGTCTGCAGTTTCTCATTGAAGTCTGTTTTTGAAGTTTTTTTTGTTGAAGAATGGCCACTTTTTAGTTGGTTACTGAGTGTTCAGGGAGACTGAAGTGTTCTCCTACTGGTTTTTGAATGTTACCATTCTTGATGTCTGATCTGTGTCCATTTATTCTTTTGCGTAGAGACAATCCGGTTAGGCCAATGTACATGGCAGAGGGGCAATGCCTAGTTGGAGAATCCTACTGGGTGTTAGGCATAAGATAGGTATCCAGGTTCCTGCCTGAGGCAACAGTACACATGCCCAGAGGCAGCAACTTAGGTGCCTAGGGGCCTTTTACAGTGAAAATGCAGGGGCTTAGCTGGGTAGTGAGGTGCCTCAGGGTTAGATGGCTGCTGATCAGGGATTCTGTCACTGCCAGTGGCACCTAAATGTTCGACTTAGGCATCTAAAGTGGGATTTAAGTACCTAAGGCTCTGTGAATCTGCTGCTGAGTGCCCAGCTGGGAGCAGGATAGGGATGAGAGGAAGGGCATAGCCACTCTTCCAGCATTTTTAAATGACAGTAATTGGTAGCGTGGTAAATAACAATGGGGACAGATCAGTCTCTACAGGGATACAGAGCAATCTGGGTTGCTTGGTAAACTGGGCTTATTTGAACAACACGTGTTAACACTGCCAGAAAAAAGAATGGGCAGGACACAGTTTGTGCAAAACCATAATTGTGAAAAAGGTCAAAGCCCATTGATTTCAATGGGAGTTAGGTGCATAAGTACCTTTTGTGAACCTGGGCCTGAGGAATAGTAGTAAACTACATAATTAATGCATGACAATTATCTAAACGACATGTGAATATGTATAATTGTGCATGAAATGTGCTGTGACAAAGTTCCTCCTCTATCTTGGTGGGTCCTGAGCTTATTGGCGGATTTTCTTGCCTCAGAGATTCACCATGTGGGTTGGGGAACAGCCCAGAGACCTTCCCCTCTGGAAGAACCCACAGTCCAGATCAATTGGGAGGTTTGGGGGGAACCTGGGCCCGCCCTCTACTCCGGGTTCCAGCCCAGGGCCCTGTGGACTGCAGCTGTCTATAGTGCCTCCTGTAACAGCTGCATGACAGCGACAACTCCCTGGGCTACTTCCCCATGGCCTCCTCCAAACACCTTCCTTATTCTCACCACAGGACCTTCCTCCTGGTGTCTGATAACGCTTGTACTCCTCAGTCCTCCAGCAGCACACCCTCTTGCTCTCAGCTCCTCACACTCGCACCACAAACTGAAGTGAGCTCCTTTTTAAAACCCAGGTGCCCCAATTAGCCTGCCTTCATTGGTTCTAGCAGGTTCCTGATTACTCTAGTGTAGCCCCTGCTCTGGTCACTCAGGGAACAGAAAACTACTCATCCAGTATATTTGCCCTCTACCAGACTCCTGTACCCCACTGGTCTGGGTCTGTCACAGTGCATACTAATTGTAGGTCAAAACCAACATCTTGGATATTAACCTGGAAGCCTAGTACAGATCACAGACCATGGGATAAATGGAGTCATGAAAAGAAATGCTGCTAACAAGTGGACCGCTGAATTCTGCATCACTTTCAGATTCCAGACATATTTAGGAGATAGCCCCATGTAGAGTACATTACAGTAGTCTAGTCTTGAGGTGACAAAGACACAATGACAATTGTAAGGTCCACATCAGAATGAAATTGTCTCAACCTCCTGTTTGTTTTAATTTACAAACAACAAAAACCTAACCTGCAGGTGCTGCTGCCTGATTCATTAGTAGTGGTAGTTAGGAGTTTAACCAAATCCCCAGCTTGGAAAACCAGTCAACGAATGGTCAGCACCCACCCTGACCAAGAAGGGCAATATTCCTGTTGCTTTTCCATAACCAACCAGTATCACATCAATAGTATCTGAACTGAGTCTTAGACAGTTTTCCCTCATCCATGCCCCAGCACAATTAACCCTTCTGGCTGGGTCAGGTAAAATGGAGACAAAGCTCAGATCTCCTCACTAATCTGCCCAACAGTTTCATGCATGCATTAAACACAGGTGGCATGATGGGGCCCAGAGGGCAGAGTAGCAATTGACCCACATCACCCTCTAGGATCCCTCAGCAAGGTAGGAGCAGAATGACCTAAGAGCAATCCCATCCACCCCCACTATGATGTGTATATGAGTCCATTTATCATGGTCAGTAGTATCAAAGGCAGATGACAGATCTGTAATACCATTATGAATACCTGGTCTTCAGCCACTGTCAGGGAGAGGTAATCCACCAGTGCCAACCAAACTGTTTGTGTCATACCAAGTCAATAACTAGATTGACAAAGGTAAAGGTAAAGGATCTGAGGGAGCTTGCCATGACCTTTTCAGAAATTTTGACTCAAAGT